TTTAAAGCTGCTGCTTTGTGGGTTTTTGTACAGTGACACATTTGCTCATTTTGCCTCTGTACACCACCACTACTATTTAAAAAAAAGTATTGCATTCACTGACACTTATATTTATTCACAGCGCTCGATACAGTGGAAACCATGTGGAGTGGTAAAGCGAACAATCTGGTATGTTCCTAAATGCATAAATAGAGCGGCAACACCAGAACACCTGAAAGGCTCGATGGTCGAACAATTTCCTTGAAAACAACTTCATAACATCGAGTCTCAAACATTCCCGAGGACGAAGCTGCATCATCCTCACAGTCTACAACAACAAGGCATCCCCATGACTGTCAATAACAGACGCATGCAGGCACAAACCTGGTTACACTCAGGAACATAAATACTTAAATACTTAAATAATGAAAAGTATAGAGAAGGAGAAAAACAGCTCATGATGAAAAACATTATGAGCATATTATTATTATTATCATTATTACCTGTCAAACATGGTGGAGGAAATGTTTGTTTTTTGTTTTTATTAGATTTTGAATTTTATAACAGCAAATACAAAGATGCAGCAACCAAAAGCAAGAAGCAAACAAACAAACAAAAACAAACAAACAAATAAATAAAAAACAAACAAAACAAAACAAAACAAAAACAGTGAGGTTTTAACAGATGTTGTATTAAGCTCAAATGTCCAACACCTCACAATTCAATTGCATTAACAACTAAACAAGACACTCAACTGTGTCGCCTTTAGTGCTGCAGGCTGTCAGTCTGCCGTTTACCTCAGCTTTGTGCGAGGAGCTTGATGGAGTCAGTGAAGTGATAATGAGGTGAGCTGTGGGAATCCTGCACCTTTCCATCTGTTAGCGCTGTTGTTCGCTGGCGTCGGTGAAACTTTCCTTGAAGCAGATCTAACTTTGTTGGACTTGGACGCTTTGCAATGAAACTTGTACGATGTGAGAATGTAATCAAACTGCTCGTCAGAAGTTTGATTTTTAAGACGTTTAATCATTATCTGTAATGTTAGCTTAGAGAGGAGTGCAGACGAGGAGGACACGATGAGAAGGATGATGAGGGAAATATGCGCGGGCAAATCACGTATGTCATTTGAAAGAGCTATTAGTGATCTTTAAATTAAAAGTAACTTGTAAGTGTTGCTATAGCCAAATACAG